GATGACCAACTTGAGGTCGACTCACCCTCACTTTGTACGCTGCATCATCCCCAACGAGACCAAGACTCCAGGGGCCATGGAGAACCCTCTGGTGATGCACCAGCTGCGCTGTAACGGTGTGCTGGAAGGCATCAGGATCTGCAGAAAGGGTTTCCCCAACAGGATCCTCTATGGAGATTTCAAGCAGAGGTGTCTGTTAGATAATTGGAAAATATAAGCAACATCAAATTTCTTAGTTATCCATTCTGGTGTGTTTTTGTGGTTTGACATTTTATGTAATATAAAATAAAGTTGAAATGCTCACTTTTTTCCCCCAGGTATCGCATTTTAAACCCAAGTGCTATTCCTGAAGGACAGTTCATCGATAACAAAAAGGCTTCAGAGAAGCTTTTGGGCTCTTTGGATATAGATCACAACCAGTACAAACTGGGTCACACCAAGGTCAGTACTGATAGAACAAATTTTGGCATATGCTGTTATTCTTGGTGTTATCATGTCCATGATGATAATAAAGTGGTCAAGAGTAATTCTAACACACACAAAAAGTGCCTTCAACATGGGTTTCTTTATCTTAGGTATTCTTCAAAGCTGGGTTGCTTGGACTGCTGGAGGAGATGCGAGATGACCGTTTAGCTCTAATCATCACGAGGATACAAGCAAGATCCCGAGGTGTTCTTGCAAGAATTGAATTTCAGAAGATTGTTGAACGCAGGTATTTGGTACAATGAAACTCCGATTTCAAATCAGTTCAAAAGTTACATGAAAAATGGAATATCAAAGAAATGACAAAACATTTTACTAAAGGTAGCATTCGTCTTCCTTTCATTAACTGAAAGTCAAAAACACCGCTAGGTTGTGTGCTATGGTCTTTAGTTTTGAGGAGGTTTCACAACATTACTTTTAGGATCAGGTGAAGTCCAAAAGTTTGAACCAAATGAGTTTGGTGTAAAAGTCCTCTGACACCTTACACTACACTACCTTACACTATCCTAGCAAGCTATTGTATTTTCCTTGGAACACTGAAAACATCTTCATAAAGGGTACAAATTAAATAAAGAACGT